ATGGCTGTTCTTTCTGGCTTGGGGAAGCGTCACACTGGCTAATGTGACAGGGACTCGGGGGTGGGAGACAGCGAGCCAGACAGAACACCGTGGCCAGCTTGACATCAGGACGAGGGGCATGATATCATTTCCTGCTTCTTATTCTGTACAGAGGGAAGAAGAAAAAACTTCTCAGCCCTCATCCTAAAAAAAAAAAAAAAAAGAAAGAAAGAAAGAAAGAAAAAGCCGCCGAGCCAGGGCTTGGCAATTAGTGTTGGAGTAAGTGATCATCTTGTGATTGCTCAGCTGGGGCCTGAAGACTTGTAAATGCATTTAGAGGATAGAAATAGAAGCCGTTGTGAGAGCAGACAAACCTGGCCCATGTGCCAGGAGAAATGTCCCAAAGCTGCCGGGAAAATTACTCAACTGGGGTTGGGGGTGTGTCTGCGTCAATGGGAAAAGTTCATAAATAAAACCCAAGGATGAAGCCAATGCTTGGTGTGATGGCTCTTCTCTCCCCAGCCCGCAGGCTCCCTGGAAGCCCCTGTGCCTCATCAGAGCCCCTCAACCAGGTGCCGAATTTCTGGCACCAGACTGACCCGCCGCCCCGCCCCTCATGTGCAGCCAGACCGGAACTGGTGGTCTGTCCTTCTCGGTGACCCCCTGGAGCCCAGGGCAGGTACTCAGAGCTGGCCAGTGTGTGCAGGAGAAAACAGGGGCCCCGGTCACAGGCATGTGCATCGATACCATCAGGCCCTGTTCCAACAGTCCCCTCCTGGTGGCCCCCAAAGCCTCGGGAATCTTGCAGAGCCCCTCCGGTATCCCTCTGCCGCCACCCAACAGACCCCAGATCATCCCAACAGATGATAGTGGGTCACGGCCCTCTTCCAGAGATCTGAAGGGCAAGCCAAGGACATGTTCTGGTACAAATCTTTTTTTTTTTTTTGAAGAGGTTTTTGCCATGGGGCACATGCGCTCACCAGACAGAGACAGAGAGACAGAAAGCGAGAAATCACTCCCCAGGGGGGATGGCCACTCCGCAATCCCTTCTCCTCCATTCCCCTCTCGGGATCTTGAGCATGCACACACACGCGCCCGGCGTGAGTCTTAAGCCACCGGGTCCAGGACGCAAACCGTGGTCCACTACTTGGGAGTCTAGCGACATAGCCATTACGCTAACTGCTGGTCCCTGTTCTTGTACAAACCTCTTCAAAGCCACCCACAGCTGCAAATGCACCCCTGATCCCACTTCGGTGGTCCCTGGAAATACAAAAGGTCCCACTGCCTTCCCTGAGAGCCGCCTGTAACACAAGGCCCTAGAAGGCTCCCGGGCATGAACACCCAGACTCTGACCTCAGAGGGGACAGACCTGCTCCCACATCATTGACAGCTTCCCTCCCCAAATATGACCCTATAACACCGCTCCCCAAAACGGCACTCTCTGTGCTACATCCTGCCCGTGGAGTGGTTCTGTTTGGCCCAGGGAGTTTGAAGGTTTTGTTTCTAGTTGCCCGCACTGAAAACCTGAGCGGTTTCACTGTATCTCCAGATGTTCTTGAGGAAATAAGAACTTTGGCAACACCCCCACAGGGCAAGAGTCAGCAGAAACTTTTTACTGGCTGCCCTGTCGCAGAAGACATGTGATCCCCAGTCCCCCTGTCCCCATTTGGTCTACCATGGGCACGTGGTTCTGTGACCCTTGACTGAGTTATGACAAAAAGGAAGACTTCAGGGACAGCAGATGGCATAATGGTATGTAACCCCACTGGACTCCCACTTAGTCAATAGCAGTTCAAGTCCCGGACCTGGCGACTTAAAACCCACACCGGGCACGTGTGCATGCATGCTGAAAATCCCAAGAGGAGAATGGGGAAGAAGGGATTGTGGCATGGCCATCCCCCACTGGAGGTGATTTCTCACTTTCTGTATCTCTGTGTCTCTCTGTCTCTCTGTCACCCTCTATGGCAAAAACCGAAAGAAAGAAAGAAAGGAAAGAAAGGAAAGAAAGGAAAGAAAGGAAAGAAAGGAAAGAAAGGAAAGAAAGAAAGAAAGAAAGAAAGAAAGAAAGAAAGAAAGAAAGAAAGAAAGAAAGAAAAGATGAGAAAAGAAAAGAAAAGAAAAGAAAAGATGAGAAAAGAAAAGAAAAGAAAAGAAAAGAAAGAAAAGAAAAGAAAAGAAA